TGATTTTATAATAGAATAATAATAAGATAATATTAATCTATTTTTTTATCCAACCTTTATATTCTCCAACACGCACAGATTTACATGCTATGACTGAATAATCAGCAGCATCAAAATTGACCGCTTGATTTCCCCATAACGACATATTTATTTCGTATCCACTCTTGTCAACTATATCAATTTCTTTTTTGTGAATCTATAATTTTTGTCAGCAGGCAAAGTAGAGGAAAGAAAACCAATAATCAAGTATTTAATTTACTGGAACAAGAAATTTATACAAGATAATTAATTACTTACTGCCTTTTGTGTTTGTTTAGAAGTAACTTCGACAAGTTCGTGTGAACGCTTAACAATTCCTATTACATCTATATATGAATAATAACGTATTTAATATTTCATTCGTGTGGAAGTGATGCAGAGTTTAATAGCCTTACTGGTAGCGCAGAACAAACTAACATCCCCAATGTTAAAGAAGCACAAAAGCCATTAGAAGAAATTTTGTCTGATAGAACTTTAGGACGTAAAGATAAAGTAACTACTGACATTATATAAATAATATATATATTATTTGAATATTTTTCTAATTCTAAATCTCCAAATTTATATATTATTCAGCCAGACTATTTCACCGTTAAAGCAATTGTTATGTATATACATAGTAAAGGAAAAGATTTCTTCTATCCAGCTTGTCCTAATTGCAATAAAAAAGTTATAGAGTATGAAAATGCCTGGAATTGTGAAAAATGTTCTAAATCATTCGAAAATCCAATTTATAGGTAAGTAATTGATGTAATTTTTGAGATGATTAATTTTTTTGTGAAAAAAAAATAACAGTTATATTAATGATGTATAATTATTAATCTATGCATATTTATTCATTTATATGTTCGTTTATTAGGTACATGTTGCCAATTCGTGTCTCCGACAATTCTGGTACTGTGTGGTTAACTTGTTTTGATGATGTAGCTAAAGTAGTTATGGACTTGCCTGCTGATGATTTACGTAATTTAAGGGTAATTTTGACAATTGAATAATAAAATTTTCCAAGAAAATACTAATTAATCCGAATGATTTCAATGATCGTTGTTGCAGCTTAACAATCCACTTGCGTATGATAAATATATCCAAAATCGATTATGGGAATGTTATATTTTCAAAGTTCGCTCCCAACAAAGAAATTATAATGTAAATAAAATAACATTGATAATAATATTTCATTTTTATTTTTATAAATAAATATTTACTTATGATAATTTCTTTTGCAGGATAAAATTACGATAAATTTCATCGCAGTAGGAGCTGGTAAAATCGATCTTAAAGAAGAGGCAGGAAATTTAATCGAACAAATCGGAGCATTAGAAAAGATGATTTAAAAGATGATAATAATATTAGCAGCATTGTCATTATTAACATATAAATAATAATTTTCTTTTCCGTGAATATTGTATTATTGTGGTGTTTTATTTTTTTCTTTTTCTTATGTACATAAATAATAATCATAATAATATAATTTTTTTTGCTAAATAAAAATATCAATTTTTCGTTTAAATCACGTGGTAAGGTAAAATGAATGCGAGTAAAATCGTCCACGCGTAATAAATGACTAAATCCACAAAAAATCAATAATAAAACATACAAATCATAAGCAGGTAAATAAATAAATATTTACATTTACCGGAACAACAACTCCGAAAAAATTATTTTTTGTTTTGCGAGATTTTCACGAAATAAAAACAAACTTTATTTATTTACTTTGGATATAAATGGTCAATAATATAAAAACATTAATTGTGTTTGTTATATATTAAATCACAATTTAAAATGAAAATACATTGAAAGTGAGTTCAAAGGGAAGGAGAAGAGGCGTCAATAGTCCTTTTTTTACTTTTTTTGTTTAAAGAAAGATTGTTTCGTGTCGTGTTACCACATTGTGTATTTATAATTACTATTTTAACGCTACAAAGATGATTTCTAATTGGTTCTTGTTAAAAAAAAAAAAACGATGTTTGACGAACAATCAGTATTAGTAAAAAGTTTTGAATAAAAAAGATTATTCA